CATCATCATCAGCATCAGCATCATCATCACCATCATCATCATCATCATCATCATCATCAGCATCATCATCATGAGCATCATCATCATCAGCAGCATCCCCCTTCCTATTCCTGCCAGCCATTTTCCACCCAGGGGTCTGAGCGCGGGAGTCATGGTGCCCCGATGGGCCAAACTCGAAAGTGGCGATGGCCCCAGGAGTCATGCACACACATCGTCTTTGAAGCCAACGGCCGTGAGCGGGCCCAACCGCCAGAGAGCCGCCAAGGTGGGCCGTCCCCTTGCCTTTCCCTGGCTCAAAAGAGGCCCCAAAACGGCCCCAAAACGGCCCCCAAAAGGCCTCAAAAGTGCTGCCAGGAGGCCCCCGAGAGACCTACCAAGAGCCTCGGCGGTGCGACGTAAGCCCAAGAATCACCTACAGCGCTGGGATCCACCCGTGCGGGAAGGGCGGCAGTGAGCAGATCAGCTACAACGCTGGGAGTCGTGCCTGCGAGGAGGAGCCGAAGGCGAAGCTCGAGCTCCAGGCAAGCAGTGGGCGACTCTTCAGGTACGACGCTGGGAGCTGTTCATGCACGAAGGGCGGCACTGAGCGAAGGATCAGCCACAACGCTGGGAGCAATGCGTGCGTAAAAGGGCTGTGGGTGGCAGCTCGAGCTCCAGAGCCCGCGCGAGCCATCGCCATCAGCCGCAGGGCCAGGACAGCTCGTGCGTGCGAGAAGGCCGAGCAGTGGCAGCAATCTCTGCGCTGCTTGCTCAGCGTGGCAGGACGTGGACGGCAGATCAGCTGCAACGACGGGAGTAGAACAGGCGAGACGGCAGGCAGTGGGCGACGTACAGTGGAGGCAAGAAACCTTCCACGAGAAACCCAACCCTGAGACCACAGGACGTCCATTGATCTCTGGTGTGGGAACGTCACGCTTTCTATGACCAAACCATCGGGACCCAAGAAGCCCAGGGCACCCTGGAGGCAAGCAGGGTGTTCCTTGGCATGGGCCCCCACTGTATCAGCTACAACGCTGGGAATGGCTCATGCGGGAAGACAGGCACTGAGCGACATGCCGGCTCTCCCACGCTGGGAGCAGTTCACGCGAAGAAACAGGCAGTGAGCGACACCTCAGCCACAACGCTGGGAGTATGTCACGCGAGAAGGCAGGCAGCGGGCGACGACTCGGCCACATTGAGAGCAGCTCCTGCGAGAAGGCAGGCTCGGAACGGCAAGTCGGCTACAACGCTGGGAGCAGATCGTGCGAGGAGGGCGATGAGCGGCACATCAGCTACAACGCTGGGGGTAGTTTATTGAGTAAGGGCGGCTGTGATCGACATATCAGCCACAACGCTGGGAGAAGTTCGTTTGTGAAGGGCGGCAGTGAGCGACACAGCAGCTACATTCTTGGGAGGAGTTCGTGCAAGAAGGAAGGCAGTTGCAGTGCACGCGGTCATCGTGAGGAGTGTGAGGAAGCGCAGGGTGCGAAGTCGAGCCAGGACCGCCCACGACCCATGGCGAGGAGGGCACCAGGGTGGAGGCGGGTGAAGCAGAGCCAGCCCCGCCCCATGACCCCCCTACGGGGGGACCAGGGTGGAAGAGGGCGAAGCTGAAGGCAAATGCTTGCAGCTACAAACTGAACACGAAAGCCCGTGCGAGAAGGCGGACAGTGGCAGCAGCTGCGTCGATGCGATCAGCTCGCTCGAGAAGGGCGCAGGCGTGCGCAGCAGGTGTCTGCGATAAATCGATCCCTTTCCAGGGCTGCACGTGCAAGGGCCGAAATTTGTCGCCCAGGGACGGCCTGGGGTAGGGGAGGCTTCCATCGCCGCCGCTGTGCGTGATTCGCAACTTCGGAGGTCAGGCCAGCAGAATCCAGCAGCCTCCTCCTGCCTCCTGCCTCCTCCTCCTCCTCCTCCTCCTCCTCCTCCTCCTCCTCCTCCTCCTCCTCCTCCTCCTACGCCTGCTCTTCTTCTTTTTCTTCTTCTTCTTCTTCTTCTTCCTCCTCCTCCTCCTCCTCCTCCTCTTCCTCCCCTTCCTCTTCCTCCACCTCCTCCTCCTCCTCCTCCTCCTCATCCCTCCTCCCCCGTCTTCCCTCATATACCCTCCTCCCTTCTCCTGCCTCCTTTCCTTCCGCGCCATTCACCCCATTCTTTCGTCCTCCTCCACATCTCCTTACTCTCTCCTCATCCCACATCATCTCCTCCTCCTCCCCTCCCTCCTCCTCCTCCTCTTCGTCATCATCTTCATCAGCATCGGCAGCAGCACCACCAACAACATCATCATAATGATCACTCCAAAACCCCATCATCACCACCATCCGACATCATCATCATCATCATCATCATCATCATCATCATCCTCATATCATCATCATCATCATCAGCATCACTCACAATCATATAATTCATCATCTCATATCATAACATCATCTCAATCATCATCATCATCCATCATCATCATCATCATCATCATCATCATCATCATCATCTTCATCATCATCATTCATCATCAGCAGCAGCAGCAGCACCATCAACATCATCACCACCATCACCATCATCATCATCATCAGCATCATCTCATCATCATCAGCAGATCTCCTCACCATCACCATCATCATCATAATCATCAGCATCATCATAATCATCATCATCATCATCATCATCAGTATCATCAGCATCATCATCATCAACAACAACAACAATAACAACAACAGCAACAACAACAATACTTACAATTACAACAAAAACAACAACAACAACAACAACAACAACAACAACACTAGCATCATCACCATCATCATCATCATCATCATCAGCATCATCATCATCAGCATCATCATCATCAGCATCATCATCATCATCCTCGTCATCAGCATCATCATAATCGTCATCATCATCATCATCATACATCCTAACATGCCGCTGTGACGCGCCCAGACAGCTCGAGGTCTCCTGCGGGAGGTGGAGGGCGCTTCGGAGAGGTGTAGCTGGTTGGTGAGTTCGGGGGAGACCGCGAGTCAACGGCTGCCCCTCCTCGGGAGAAGGGATTAGCATCATCATCAGCATCATCATCGACATCACCACCATCATCATCAGCATCATCATCATCATCAGCAGCATCAGCATCATCATCATCATCATCAGCATCATCATCATCAGCATCATCATCATGAGCATCATCAGTACCATCGCCATCATCATCAACATCAGCAGCATCGTCATCAGCAGCATCATCATCATCATCAGCAGCACCATCATCATCAGCAGAACCATCATCACCGTCCTCATCATCAGTATCTTCATCGTCGTGTTCAACATCATCATCAGCATCATCAGCATCAGCATCATCATCGTCAGCATCATCATCGTCAGCATCAGCATCAGCAGCATAATCAGCATCATCATCAACATCATCATCATCGTCATCAGGATCCTCATAGGCATCAGCATTAGCATCAGCATCAGCATCAGCATCAGCATCATCATCGTCATCAGAGCAGCAGCAGTGGTATGACCGTCATCGGCGTCACTTTCTTCCAGCATCAGCCGCATCGTCGTCATAATCACAATCATCATCAGCATCGTCATTCTCATCCTCAGCATCGTCATCCGCATCATCAGCAACATCAGCATCAGCATCAACATCAGCATCGTCATCATCATCAGCATCACAGGCATCGCCAGTAGCGACATACCATCATCAGCATCAGCATCAGCATCAGCATCGTAATCGACAGCATGCTCAAGATCACCAGCATCACCAGCATCAGCATTGCCAACATCAGTATCACCATCATCGGAGGCAGCATCAGCAGCAGCATCAGCATCATCAGAATCGCCATCATCATCATCATCATCAGCATCATCATCATACCAACATCATCATCAACAGCATCAGCCTCACCGTCATCATCATCAGCAATATCACCATCGCATCACCATCATCAGCAGCATCAGCATCGTCATCAGCATCAACATCATCAGCAATATCATCAACAGCCGCATCATCATCACCGTCAGCAGCCTCATGATCAACATCGCCACCACAAAAGCAGCAGCATCAGCAACAGCATGAGCAATCATAACATAGTCGTCAGTAGCATCATCACCATAATCAGCCTCACCATCATCAGCCTCATCATCATCGTCAGCAGCAACATCGTCATCACCACCAGAATCATCATCCGTCGCATCATCACACCCATCACCATCATCACCATCATCAGCATCCTCGGCAGCACTAGCAGCATCATCAGCAGCAGCATCCTCATCATCGTCACCATCATCACCATCATCATAAACCAAATTACCAGTATCATCCACAATGTAATGATTAACAACATCAGCATCAGCAGCAGCAGCACCATCATCATCATCATCACCATCAACAACCTCATCATTTGCAACATCCTCATCATCATCAGCATCAGCATCATCATCAACAGCATCAGCATCGGCATGGTTACCATCAGCAGCAACGTCATCACCATAACCACATCGTTCGCACCATCAACATCATCGTCATCATTGGCATCATCAGCATCATCAGCATCAGCAGCATCACCAACGTCATCAGCCGTAGCATCATCGCTGCCCTTTCACCTCATCAGCATCCTGCCTCCCCCTCATCCTCCTATTCCTCCTGTTCCTGCTCCCCTTCCTCCTTCGCCTGCTCCCCCTCCTCCTCCTCCTACTCCTCCGCCTCCTCCCCCGCGCCCTCAGATGCCTCTCCGTTTCGCCTCCAACGTCCCCCCCCCGCCTCTAGCAATGCAAGGACTGTGGGTGCTGATGGGTGAGTCGCGCGGTCCACAACACGCCTGCAGGCGCTAGCCTAGGTCCCCCCCCCCCCCCCCCACCCCCCGCCCCATCACATTACATCCCCCCCCCAATGCACCTAGCCCATCCCATCCTCACGCTTCCTCCTCCTCCTCCTCCTCCTCCTCCTCCTCCTCCCCAGCATCATCATCGGCTTCAGCATCCTCATCATCATCGTCATCATAATCTTCACCATCAATCATCACCATCATCATCGCCATCATCATCATCATCATCATCATCATCATCATCATCAGCATCATCATCATCATCATCATCATCATCATCATCATCATCATCATCATCATCATCATCATCATCATCATCATCATCATGATCATCATCAGCAGCAGCACCATCATCATCAGCAGCAACAGCGCCACCACCATTACCACATCATCAGCATCATCAGCATCATCATCAGCATCACCATCATCAGCAACGTTGTTATCATCATCGCCACCATCAGCATCAACATCATCAGCTTCATCAGCATCGTCAGTAGCATCATACTCACCACCATCAGCATCAACATCAGCATCATCGTCATCAGCACCATCATCACCAGTATCCGCATCAGCAGCATCATCATCATCCTCGTCCTCAGCATCATCATCAACATCACCATTATCCTCATCATCATCACCATCATATCATCGCCATCATCCTAGTCAGCATCATTATCGTCGTCATCGGCATCATCATCAGCAGCATCATCAGCCTCATCGTCAGCAGCAACATCATTATCATCAGCAGCATCATCATCAGCATCATCATTATCAGCTGCCATCAGTATCATCATCGTCATCAGTATCAGCAGCGGCAGGATAAGAATCAACACCATAAACACCACCACCATCATCATCATCAGCATCATCATCAGCAGCACCATCATCATCAGCATCATCATCCTCAGTATCATAGTCATCAGCAGTATCATCAACGTCAGCATCAGCATCAGCATCAGCATCAATATCATCATCAGCATCAACATCATCATCAGCATCATCGTTATCATCATCATTATCAATAGCAATACAATCATCACCAGCACCATCACCGTCAACATCACCACCATCATCAACAACATTATCCACATCATCCGCATGATCATCCTGATCATCAGCATCATCATCGCCATCAGCATCGTCACAATCATCAGCATCATCATCAGCATCATCATCAGCAGTAGCAGCAGGAGCATCATCGTTCTCATGTTCATCATAATAACCAGCAGCAGCATCAGCAGCATCATCATGGTCATCCTCAGCATCATCATCAGCATCATCAGCAGCAGCATCATCCTCATGTACGCATCATCATCAAGATCATGAAAATCAACATCATCACCACCACCACTACTACCGTCGTCGTTGCTACCATCATCATCAACATCATCAGCAAAGTCATCATCATAATCATCGACGTGGTCGTCGGCACCATCATCATTATGCCGTCATTACCATCATCAACAACATCATCAGTAACACCATCATAACCTGGAGTAAGTTGTATCGGTTTCGCACGAATGCTGTTAGTGTTCTTAGTTGGTGTTATCAATATTAATACAGTTATACGAGGCAAAATGTGTATCCTCTTCCTTCTTCACTGTTTTCCCCTTCTTGTCCCTATCATTCCCTTTACCATCCTTCCACCTCCTTCCTTCCGCTCTTCCCCAAACAGCGCTTGCATTCAAAACCTCTGACTTGCGCCACCGAGGAAGTGCACAGGTCCAGCGAGGACTCTCCACTGTCCCCGTGGCCTCGTCGTGGCCGTCTCGTGAACTGGTTGGGGCCGGCCAGGTTTCACCACGGTGCCGCCCGTGGCCGCTTCGTGGCGGCCTCGTGCGCTAGATGGGTCGTCGTCGTCGTGGGGAGGCTTCGCCACGTTGCCGCCCGTGGCCGCCTCGTGGCCGCCTCGTGCGCTGGGTGCGGCCCGCGAAGTTTCGCCACGCTGCCGCCCGTGGCCGCCTCGTCCGCTGGCCGCCCGCTGCCGCCTCGTAGCCGCCTCTCGTGCGCTGGGTGGGTCTGGCGAAGTTTCGCCACGTTGCCGCCCGTGGCCGCCTCGTGCGCTGGGTGGCTCTGGCGAAGCTTCGCCACGTTGCCGCCCGTGGCCGCCTCGTGGTTTGCACCTCGCCGCTCGTACCACATAGAGTGGGCCACCTGGCTTACACCGCATAGCTCTCCTATCACAGCTCACAGCGAGCAAATCACGCCAAGTAGTTTTCACCGCGCAACTCACACCAAATAGACTGCACTGCACACATACATATTTATATATATACATACATGCATACTTACATACATACACATATATATATACACATACATATACTATTATATATATACACTCCATTCAAACGCAGCATAAATTGTACCATCCATTGCTCCCCGCAAATACCGACAACCGCCAGGACACTGCAAATTACATCTGGTCCTGCCTCGTCGCTGAAGACCTGAAACCATCCCAGTAAGTCTGGGCATCGCCCTTGCTCATCTTTGTTTTAAAAAAAAACCAGGCGCGCAGACTCGTGCCACGCGCACACACATACACCAGCTGTGCACGGATGTCAACATGCAAGCTTTCGTCACACATGTTGCAAATCTTTTGCCCGCGTGCAAATGTTGAAATCCTTGTAAAAAATGCCCGTGTAGCAATAAAGTTTTCATGCCCACTTCAACACACGAGCACATGGGTCTTTGGATGTCATCACGCGCGTCCTTCTTCACCGTCATCCATCAACGCCGCCGCATCCCGTCGTCGTCAACGATATATCCACAATTGCCGCCACCATCACTCAAGCACGCTCATCATCTGCAAATGATGATCATCATCATCATCATCATCATCATCATCATCATCATCATCATCATCATCATCATCGACCATCATCACCAGCATCGGAGCCGTCATTGTCCTTGCCGTCGTCAATGTCATGATCGCCACCACCACCCTTACAATAATCATCATCGTTATCATCAGCATCATCAACATGCTTTCCGCCGTCGACGTCATCATGAAACTGCGCCCGCCCAAACCACCGTCCCGCATTGAAGTGCCCGCGCGCAAGCGCGGGCTTTGACACGCGCAGGGGCGTTGCCATCGGCAAGCGCCATCGCGGACGCATCGGCTGTGCCAAACCAGCTGGCCGCTCTTCGTGCTAGCTTGCGCTCGTCAGCGCGCCCGCAGAGATGCGCCAGTCATGGCCAAGCAGTCATCGCAATTGCCGCCGCATGAGGTTTGCAAACCAAGTTGCGGGTGTGAGGGCGGGACGATTGCGCGAACAGTGGGGTTGACAACTCACGAGTTGGCAAACCATAGTTGCACACACCATCAAGAATGTGCCACATATGTTGCACCACATAGCTCACATCACGTAGCTCATGCCGCATGAGTTGCACCACACATCTTTCACTGCATTGTCCACACCACACAAATTGCACCTCATATGTTGCGCCGCACAGCTTACACCTGACAACTCGCACCCCATAGATGATCACCAACAATAGCTTACGCATCAATAGTGCCACATCTCACTGTGCAGGGTCCGCGCTGGCAAAATGTTCTTGATCTGCGGCGCACTGGGTCCGAGGTGCGGGGGAGAAGGGCCGCGGACGGCCAGATAGCCCTCAGAGCGTGAAACGCCGCGGGTCGATCCAGAGCAGGCGCAAGTCCTTAAAACCAGCGGTGCGTCCCCCACGCTTGCAAACAATATTCCTCCTCCTCCTCCTTCTCCTCCTCCTCATCCTCCTCCCCCATCCTGCTCTCCTCATTCCTGAAGCCGCCTCCTCCTCCTCCTGCCAAACCTGACCTGCTCTCCTCTTCGTAGTCCTTCCCCTCCTCCCCCCCTCGTCCTGAGGCCGCCCGCGAGCCTTCGGGAACACGGGGAAGCGCTGGGGATTGCCGAACGGGCTCGCGTCGCGCCCAAGGATGGAGGCCTCCGGCGGGCCCCTCCGCGGATGCTGCTGCTGGTCCTCATCCTCCTCCTGCTCTTCACTCTTCCTCCTCCTCCTCCTCCTCCTCCTCCTCCTCCTCCTCCCCCTCCTCCTCCTCCTCCTCCTCCTCTTCCCCGCCTCCTCCTCCTCCTTTTCCAACGGCCTCCTCCTCCTCCTTCTCCTACTTCATCCTCCTCCTCCTTCTCCCTCCTCTCCTCCTGCTCCTGCTCCTGCTCCTCCTCCTCCTCCTCCTCCACCTCCACATCCTCCCATCTCTCCTCCTCCTCCAACTCTTCCCTTCTCCTCCCTTTCCTCCTCCTCCTCCTCGTCCTCCTCCTCGTCATCCTCTTCCCTTCTCTTCAACTTCCCTCCTCCTCCTCCGCCTCCTTCTCCTCCTCTTCCCTCCAGCTCCTCCTCTTCCCTCCTCCTCATCCTCCGCCTCCTCATCCTCATCCTCATCCTCATCCTGATCCTCATCCTCCTTCTCCTCCATCCTCCTCATCCTCCGCATCCTCCTCCTGGTCCTCCTCCTCCTCCTACTCCTCCTCCTCCTCCTCATCATCATCATCAGCAACAGCAGCATTATCATGGTCGTCGTCGTCACCACCGTCATAATACTCTCCGTTATCGAAATCGTCGTCGTCGTCGTCTTCGTCGCCATCATCATCATCATCATCATCATCATCATCATCATCATCATCATCATCATCATCATCAATCATCATCATCATCCATCATCATCATCATCATCATCATCATCATCATCGTCATCGTCATCGTCATCGTCATCATCATCATCATCATCATCATCATCATCATCATCATCATCATCATCATCATCATCATCATCTTCATCGTCATCATCATCATCGTCATCATCGTCAGCAGCATCATCATCAGCCGCATCATCATGATCAGAATATGAATCAACATCATACCAATAAGACCCTTCAACATCAACAACATCAGTCGCCTTACACTCATAATCATCATCCGCACCCTCATCATCAGCAACAGCATCATCAGCATCACCATCAACATCATCATGATCAGACTCAGCATCATAATCAGCATCATCATCGTCATCATCATCATCCTCATCATCAGCATCAGCATCGCCATCATCGTCGCCATCAACATCATCATCGTCATCATCAGCATCGTCAACATCATCGTCATCATCATCCTCATCATCATCATCATCATCATCACAATCATCATCATCAGTAGCAACATCGTCATCATCATCATTATCAACATCATCATCCGCATCATCATCAGTATCATCAGCAGCATCAGCATCCTCAGCATCATCATCACCACCACCATCATCATCACCATCATCATAATCATCATCATCAGCAGCAGAAGCATCATCATCATCATCATCAGCATCATCGTCGTCGGCATCATCATTAGCAGCGTCGCAATCATCAGCAGCAGCATCACTATCAGACTCAGCATCATCAGCATCATTTGCAACATCACCGACATCAACCTCATCGTCCTCAGCATCAGCATGGTCATCATCATCATCATCGTCATCATCACCACCACTGGCATCATCATCAGCATCATCAACATCAGCATCATCACCATCAGCATCAGCATAATCATCTG